TTTGGTACATAAAGGACTCATCAAAAGAGTTAGCTCTGGACATTTCATATCTGTATGGAATGACCCATTAATTCCTGACTCACGCCAAGATCAGCAACATGCAACGGGTATAATCTATATTCTGACTTAACGGTCAATCAGTTGATTTATCCCTCGACCACCTCATGGAATGTTCCCCTTCTTCACCAGTTAGTGGTACCCGAGGATATTCACATTATTTTGAGGTTGCCTACCACTATGCATCGACGACGTGATACATTGGGTTGGAGTTTTACCAAAAATGGTCGCTACACAGTGAAATCGGGTTATTGTATGGAACAAGATAGGCACACACCAGGACAAGCCTATAGACCGGATGTGAGTAAATGACAGGCACACGTGTGGACAGTTAAATGTCCTCCAAAAATTAAACATTTTATATGGCAATCTATTTTCGGATGCCTTGCGGTTACAGACCAGCTTCGGAACAGAAAGATCAATTGTGATCCCCCAGTGCATACGCTGTGGGGGCAGATAGGGAGACCATAAATCATACGCTTTTTGAATGCCCACCGGCTTTTAAAGTATGAGCATTATCGGTTATCCCAACACCTTTAAATAGCTTCCCAACAGACGCACTATACTACAATATGGCAAAACTGTTCTAACATCTACCAAATAGGGAGGATATGTCGGTTTATCCATGGTTACTATGGTACATTTGGAAAATGCAGAATGATAAGATTTTCTCGAACATTGGTCGAACCCCCGAGAGATAGTAAGGTTGGCAACAACAGAGGCAACGACTTGGGAGGAAGCCTAGATGCCCCCAGTCTGTACACAAGAGTCAATTGATTATGGGGGAGTTCTGACATGTCAAACGGATGGGTCATGGAAGCAATCGTCCCCACACTCGGGATTGGGATGGTTCTGTCAAGGCAATGAAGTATTGGGTACCCTAATGGGTGCAAAAAATATCCTTCGAAGCACATTGGCTCTACATGCAGAGTTGGCGGCTTTGATATGGGCTATGCATAGTATGCTTGATGCAGGGAGATTGGAGCTCATCTTTCTCACAGACTGTTCGGACTTGGTGAGATGGTGTCTAACCCAACGGATTGGCCAACATTTGCGATACACCTGGATGAATTCGAGACCAGCAGGGGGAATTTGTCGCTTTCTCGCTAGCTCACATACCTCGTGCGCAGAATACAAAAGAGGCTAAGCTAGCATGGGGTGCTCGATCATGCTTTCACCATTAAACTCATTTCCACCGGCTTGGCTCGCTGAGTCGTTCTAGGAATATGAAGCTGGTGACATAAAACAAAAAAAACTAATCGATTTAACTCTAATGTTTTGAAACATATTTTTTGATATGTGAAAGCGAAATGTAAAAGCGATTTTTTAAAAAAAGTATGTAGTGATATATTAATAAATTTAAATCCTATAAAAATATAGAATGTTTGAATGGATATTAATCTAGTATATAAATACTAACTAATTTAACTAACTACAACAAAATAACACTTAAAATCATAAACTCAAAATATTTTTACAGTCTCATTTTTAAATTTATCAAACAAAACTAATTTCCCTTTTGGTTCCTCAAGTGATTGGTTGAGTTAAAACTAAGTAAATCTTATTTTCAAATAAAAAAAATATTATATTATATGTGAATGTATTCTCATTATATACCAACAATTCGAAATTATAAATAAAATAAAAAAATAAATAGATAGAAAAATAAATCACAAACCTTTTAGTAAAAAAGAAGTAGAAGTAAAAATAAAAAAAGAATTTTTACAATTTTGATTTTTTGTTAAAATATTGGACTATATCTTTGGTCTAAAGAATCTCCAACCAACCTTTATTTTAAAGCTTCTAATTTAGAGGAAAAATAAAGATGTTATTTTTTCCTCTATAATTGGAGGAAAAAATAACAATCGTTCTTTTTCCTGTAAAATAGAATAAGTTGGAGAAAAATCTATCTCTATTTTAGTAGAAAAAAATAAAAAAATACATTGGATATGATCTTAATATTTAATATATTATTCAAGGTTAAGAAAAATAATATAAGTCAAAAAGATAAAACAAAATGTAAAAAAAAAATAATTTTCATCGATTTTATATTTTTATTTGAAATATTTAAAAATATGATCTTACACATATTAATGATTTCATGCATATATTTTTTCAACATATTAAAATATTATTTCATGAATCATGTTTTTTATATGTTCTGGTCCATTATATTTTATATTAACACATATCAAAGTTAGGAATATAAGAACTCTTAATTTTTAATATAACAATAACTTATTAAATATATTATTTTACAGCTTAAATCATATACATATAAATTTAGGATCTGGTTGGTTTAAACGTTGCAGCTACGGAGAGTTTGTGGAAGCGAGCGATTACAGGCTATAAACAAATTGACGAAGAGGTGAGCTGAGGGCTACCGGGAAATTTTTAAAAATATGGTTTACAAATTTTATAACAAATATTTATTACAATTTTTTATTAAGAAACCATATATCATAAAATGCTGAAAATAAGAAATTTTTATTAAAAATAAAATGATAGAAACGGTTTTCCCAATTGTTCTTAAACGTCAAAAAATGCATCATGTAAAAACATAATGTTTGCGAAAAATATCAGAAAAATTAACAAACATCTAAATATTATAATTCATTTCTTTATAACTCATACTTACATGCATAAACATATATTTTGTTATTTTCTTTTAACACATAAAAACTATACTTTTATTTATTCACAAATATGCATGCATATATAAATATTAATGCAAAAGTCAAAGTCGCATGCGAACTGTCGTGCATGCATTTTGTTAACCTCGATTACAATCCATTTTTAATTTTAGTTATTAGATAATTTATACTCCCTCTGTTTCTAAAAGAAAGATCTTCTAGAAAAAAATATGTTTCAAAAAGATGAATTTTCTCATCTTTCAATATAGTTTTGTTAAGTATTTCCAATTCTACCCTTATTTTTTTTTATCTATTTCTTTATTTTATATGGGTAAGAAACAAAGGGCAAATAAGTATGAAAATCTATAAAAAAAATCATTCTTTAAGGAATAATGACTAGAGGGAATACTTTTTAAAAATCTCTATATATCTTACGAGCAGTGAGGTGGTTGGTAAGCACGAATGTGCGGGCCAACCATCTACCTGCTCTTAAAACAAGTAAGATGGTAAAACCCTTTTTTTATTAGCAATAGGTCAAGGAAAAATATATACTTAAAATATAGGGATAATTTTTGAAATAATCCATTTGACAATTTTATTATGAAACATGACCCTTCCATAAGAGGGATCCACTAGTTTGCTTTCAATCTGCTATTAGTGTGCCAGTAATTTGCAATTAGTCTACTATTAGTCTGCCTGTAGTCTACATTCAATTATTTGACCAATCAGTCTGTCAGTAGTATATATTCAGTCTGCCGTTAGTCTGTCATTAGTCTACAAATAACAGTAGTTAGAAGGGTAGCGCTGATATTTATAAAAATTATAAAAAGAGGTCATTTTAATAATTACCCCTCAATGGGGTACCCATTTCACATTATTTTATTATTGTGGGTTATTTTAGATCATTTTCTATAAAATATATATATTGACAAGATTATATTGTGTAAGAAGAGAGTAAAATATAATATATATAATATTTAAAATATATAATAAGAATTCAATTATGATTTAATATAACTTTTATTTTTGAAATTATACGTCACTCTAAACCCTAGAAAAAAAATAAAAAAAGTTTTCAAAAAACACAAAACGATATGAAACATTTGTGTGATTCACTAAAACTGTATATGTATAAAACAAATATTTACATAATGTATAAAGAAATTAATGAATACTTAAATATTACAACTAATTATGTCTATAAAAAAAAGTTATACATGTACATGCACGCGGGCCAACCATAAAAATTAAATAAAATTTTATATATTTTAATATATTTCAGTTTATTTAGTTATTATATTTATACTTTTTATTTAAAAAGTATTTTAAAATCTTGATTAATATTTTTATCTTGAATTTCTATTAAAATCTATAATATTTTTGTTTGATTTATCGTTTTTTATTATTAAATGTTTACATAATGTTATTATTAATACATAAATAATAATGTATAAATATAGAAAATTTTTAATATATAATTAATATAAAATATTTTATAGCCGCCCACTGTGTAAACCGATCACCTAGTATCAATTAGGTCTGAAGCCAAAAAAACCTTCATGATAGCTTCGTTATACGGATGATGATTTCAATGCAAGTAGTAAGATGCACCTTGAATTTCATGTCCTTAACGCGTAGAGTACATATGAGACGTAACACTATACACGACCTGAGTGTGGTATGTTGATCGACAAAACATTATGTTGGACAATGGACATACATCAAACATTAAATCGCTGCCATGACGTTTCTCCACCTTTTTAAGTGTCCTGCTACTAGTATTGTACTCTCTTTGTTTCCCTTGGTAATGATGTACATTAAGACACTTATGGGTTTAGGCCATTAGCCCCAATTAATTACACATCTTTCTTCTCATATATGTGGGGGCCATCTAATTTATTTTTCCGTAATGTGTTTGGAGTAATTGGTCAATATATCATCAAAATAGTATATAATTATCATTGTTGCAATTAGCCATTATTATATCAAAGTCGTTGGTATATGCTTGTACCGATTTTTTCTTTGACCATGACTCTATTCCAGGTTGCTGTTAAAAGAGCTATCACTGCTTAGTCGCTGACCACGACTGTATTCTACAAGTCTGAGACTCTTATGAAGAGATAAATGAAACGTTTTGCTTAAACAACAAATCATACCTTTGTAGATTTTTTTTTTAAATCAATTATTAGTGTATTTAATATAGTAGATAAAAACAGGTCCCACACTAGTTTTGCATCACGACAACTCATATGTTTTTCTTTAATGTATTGTTCATAATTTGTTCCTTCCCATTACTCTTTTGTGTTGAAATCTTCTTCTAACTTCCCATTATCGGCTGTTTCAAGTTGACCAAGTTTTTAATGGTCCACTCCGTATTTTCCCTTTTATATATTTCTTCACTCAATTTGTTTTAAGTCTTCTTCGCTTTTTTGTTAACATTATTGTCTACATGTTTTTGTTGGCGAGAATGCTGTAATCTTTATTCAGAAATTCTGTCATAGCTTGTGTAGACCACATGCATTTTTTTTAATATATATTTAGAAGCAGAGGAAGAGAAAAAAGATTCTTTTTTGGTTTGAAGATGAATTCAAGAATTGAAGCCTTTATGCTCCTGATCTTGATTTTCTTCCAAATTTGTACTGTTTCTGGACTCACAAATGGTTTAGACGGTAAGTATAACTAAGCTCATGGTTTTTCAGATATAAGAATCTTCAATATATTTGACTTGTTTAAAAACTGGTGCAGCTTCTGCTCTAAAAGGCCTGAAGGATGAATGGACCAGGGCTCCTGATAGTTGGGAAGGAGCTGATCCTTGTGGAACCAATTGGGTTGGAATTACATGTATAAACGACCGCGTCGTTTCAATGTAACAACTTCTTTGTCGTTTTCTTTTCTTACTGCTTGTTCTGATAATCATACGTAGACTTCTTAACTCTGTGTTCTTGTTTCAGATCACTAGGTAACCTTAATGTGGAAGGAAAGCTTTCCGCAGATATTGCAACCTTGTCTGAATTGCAGATCTTGTATGTCTTTCTTCTTAGTTCTGATCATCCTTTACAGAGAAATGGATTTTTTGTCATCTTATGATCCATTGTTTGTAGGGATTTGTCATACAATATTGGATTGTCCGGACCACTTCCACCAAATATCGGTGAACTTAAGAAGTTGAGGAACTTGTAAGCAAACAAATATTATTAGATCTTTAGTACTACTTTTATATATATATATTCTATACTAACTAAACTGTCTTTACTCTCCAGGATCCTTGTGGGATGTAGTTTCAGTGGTCAAATCCCTGAGTCTATTGGAGCTCTTGAAGAACTTATCTATCTGTAAGATTTTGTTTGTCGCTTCTTGTTATTTTGATTACACACTCTTTTACCTTTTACACTTTGCATTCTCAAGCCTCTGTAATCCCATTAGTATTAATTTGTGTGTTCTTCCATATAGCTCCCTGAATTTAAATAAATTTAGTGGAACAATTCCGGCTTCCATTGGACGGTTATCGAAACTATATTGGTTCGATATAGCAGACAATCAGATCGAAGGACCGCTTCCAGTTTCTAAAGGCACTTCTTCACCTGGACTTGACATGCTTCTTGAAACTAAGCATTTGTATATTTAATCCAAATCTCTCCATTTCTTTTTATATAACCGCTCTGTTTATTAGTAGTAATAGTTAAACTGACCATCATTCACTTTCTCTTGCAGCCATTTTGGAAAAAACAAGCTTTCGGGCCCAATCCCAGACAATCTTTTCACCTCAAAGATGACCTTAATACATGTGTAAGCTTCACATTACTTATAAAAGCTGATAGTTAGTTGTGACTAAAAAAGTGGCTGAATTGTTTGTTGTTATATCTGTAGGCTCTTCGATGGAAACCAATTCACGGGTGAAATCCCAGCCAGCCTTAGCAATGTTAAAACGTTAACAGTGTTGTAAGTAGTAAAAAGATTGTTCAAATTGTTTATTTATCCTAATTTCTTTAATCTCATACTTCTGCTATTTTCTTTGTTACAGACGCCTTGATAGGAATAAACTCACTGGAGATATTCCTACAAGTCTTAACAATCTCACAAATCTCCAAGAACTGTAAGTGAGTCTAAATTTTTGTTATGTGTTTGTAGTTATAAAAATGAAAAGAGTTGAAAGACACAGTAGTTGAATCCATTTCAGGTACTTGGCCAACAACAGATTTTCGGGTAGTCTTCCAAATTTAACCAGTTTGACCAGTCTATACACATTGTAAGTTTCTATATTTCTATTCCTCTTTATCTCCATTCACTACCCTTCTTATGAAACCTTCATTCTTAATCAATCTATTTCCATGATGTGATTCTTCTAACAGAGATGTGAGCAATAACACTTTAGAATTCTCACCAATTCCATCATGGATCTCTTCACTACCCTCCCTCGCAACATTGTATGATCGTTTCTTTTATCTTATTTTTCTTGATCTCCATGTGTATACTTTCTAAGAACAAAGTTTATTCTCCTTTTGCAGAAGAATGGAAGGGATCCAACTTAACGGTTCAATACCAACCTCATTTTTCAGCCCTCGTCAGTTGCAGACTGTGTGAGTCAAACAATACAAAAAACTAATAAATCAACATAAAGTTTATGAATAATTTCGATTGCTTATTGAGAAGTTTTTTCTTTTTTTTTTGTTTTCTTACTTGCAGTATCTTAAAAAACAATCGGATAGACTCAACCTTGGACTTTGGTACAACCTATAGCAACCAGTTGGAGTTTGTTGATTTACAATTTAATAACATAGATGTGTACAAACAACCACCAGCTAAATCACGAATCCAAGTAATGTATGTATCATCAGTCAGAACTTAAAATGGCTCTTTTCTTGTTTCACCAGTCAGTTGCTTATATTTTGTTGATATATCTACAGATTAACAGATAATCCAGTGTGCCTAGAGGTAGGTAACAGGCCAAGTTACTGCTCTGAAATCCCACACAACACCTCATTTTCTACCATCCCATCAACATGTTCTCTATGTGAACGGGGCAGGCAAGCGAATCCCTTGTGCAGTTGTTTGTATCCTATCACAGGAACACTATACTTCAGGTCTCCTTCCTTCTCAGGATTATTCAACTCCACAAACTTCGACATTCTCCAGAAGGCAATTGCTGATTTCTTCAAGAAGTTCCATTATCCGGTGGACTCTGTTGGCATCAGAAACATTAGAGAGAACCCAAGTGATCGTCAGCTTCTTATAGATCTCATGGTCTTTCCTTTAGGCAGAGAGAATTTTAATCAGACGGGAATGTCACTTGTTAATTTTGCCTTTAGCAACCAGACTTATAAGCCTCCTTCTATATTTGGACCTTACGTTTTCAGAGCCGATCCGTACAGTCAGTTCTCTGGTATGATCAAGACAATGAAACATAATTTATATTGCAATCGAAGCCAGACAGAATTTAACATTTGCTTATGTTTTGTTCGCTATGACTCATTTGCTTTGCTTTTCTTTTGTTGCCATAGATGGAGGAAGTTCAAAGTCATCAAACACAGCTATTATAATCGGAGCAGCAGTTGGTGCTGCGGTTCTTCTATTTTTGTTAACTTTAGCTGGGATTTACGCTCTCGGGCAGAAGAAGAGAGCAAAGAGAGCAACTGATCAAAACAATCCTTTTGGTAAGAAGAAAATGTTTACTTACTACTACTAAAGACTTCTCTCTTGACTGAAAAATGCTGACATAGCCTCTCTTTTGTATGTTTGTAGCTAAGTGGGATACGAGTAAGAGCAGTATCGATGCTCCACAGCTAATGGGAGCAAAAGTTTTTACTTTTGAAGAGCTGAAGAAATGTACTGACAACTTTTCAGAGGCAAATGATGTTGGTGGTGGAGGTTATGGCAAGGTTTGTGTCTTTGCAATAGCAACAATTGAAATCAGGAATGACTTTAGTTGGAACTATGATTTCATAATTGATGCTGAAACAGGTTTATAGAGGAATTCTTCCCTCTGGGCAACTCATAGCAATAAAAAGAGCTCAACAAGGATCTTTGCAAGGAGGGTTAGAGTTTAAAACTGAGATTGAGCTCCTTTCAAGGGTCCACCATAAAAATGTTGTTAGACTCTTGGGATTCTGCTTTGATCGCAGTGAACAAATGCTTGTATACGAGTACATTCCAAATGGCTCTCTTAGAGACAGTCTCTCAGGTATATACCAAATCTCTATTTATGAAGAGCTATGATGATTCTTGGTTGCTGAATTTGGTAAATAATGCAGGGAAGAGTGGGATTAGATTTGATTGGACAAGAAGGCTTAGGATAGCACTTGGTGCAGGGAAGGGTTTGGCTTATCTTCATGAGCTTGCTGATCCTCCAATTATACATAGAGACATTAAATCAAATAACATACTTCTTGATGAAAATCTAACCGCAAAGGTTGCAGATTTCGGTCTCTCCAAACTAGTGGGAGATCCTGAGAAAACTCATGTGACAACACAAGTTAAAGGAACCATGGTGAGTAGATAATCAATCATTTTATTTACTCTCATTCTTAGAATCATTTAAATTGACATTACGTTTGGAACTAGGGCTACTTGGATCCTGAGTACTACATGACAAATCAATTGACGGAGAAGAGTGATGTGTATGGGTTTGGTGTGGTAATGCTTGAGCTCTTAACTGGTAGAAGTCCAATAGAAAGAGGCAAATATGTCGTGAGAGAGGTGAAGACGAAGATGAATACCTCGAGGAGCTTGTATGACCTGCAAGAACTACTAGACACAACGATTATTACGAGCAGCAGCAATCTAAAAGGGTTTGAGAAGTACGTAGATTTAGCATTGAGATGCGTGGAGGAGGAAGGAGTGAATAGACCATCGATGGGTGAGGTTGTCAAAGAGATTGAGAACATAATGCAGCTTGCAGGGTTAAACCCTAACGGAGATTCAGCTTCTTCTTCGAGAACGTACGAGGAAGCAATCAAAGGATCTGGTGATCCTTATGGAAAGGACTCGTTTCAGTACAGTGGGAATTTCCCAGCTTCAAAGCTTGAACCCCAATGATTGAATATGGCTTTTTTGTGGTTATTTTGTAAGTTACTACGTATACTTGAAATGCGTTGTGAATGTGGACTTGCATGATTTGATTTCGCTATTTATAACTGATTTATAAAGTGTAAGCACTGCTAGATTTTATTTTTGCTTCTACTAAAGGAGAGGAACGGAGCAAAACTCCAACTAATAGCCACTAGGTCTTTGTAACATAAACAACAGTTTTAAAACATTAGAAAAATATGAATATAAGTCTTGGTGAGATGTTTGAAGGGTTTTAAATATATAACTAGAAGTATATGATTTTTAAAGTGAATTTTATAAATATTTAAATTATATAGTATAAAGGATTTATTATATTTTATATTATAAGATAGTCTGTTTTCTGGTACATATGTACCATGGTTTTATTTTGAGAAATTGGATAATCTGTTTTTCATATGTGTATAGGGAAGCTAATTGTCTTGCTGGTGGAATAGCTAACTATGCTTTTTCCCTTCCTCTAGGTGTCCAGTTTTTCGATTCGGTTCCACCTAGTTTAGTTTCGATTTTGAGTGATGATATGATGGGTTCTGCGCGTCCACAAAAAGTTTATATTTAGATTATGGAGTCCATGTGGGATAAGTATTTTTGAACTTGATTGGCATCATATTTGTTTATACGAAATTAAAAAGTGTAAAATGTAACAGATTCAATCGTATGTAAACACATGCTTAATATAGAATTCGGTTCGATTAGACATATGATAATTATCTATTTATTCTTATGATTCTCCATTCTTCTTCTTTTTTTTGTTATTCTCCATTCTTCTTCTTTTAGGTTCTTCCCTGTTCTCCATTCTCCGTTAATTCTCTGTCCATCTTCTATTTTCTTTTTCTTTTTCTCTTTCACCATTCTGTTTCTATCTTCTCTGCTTATCTCCTGTTTTTGTTGTTGTTCTTGTTTTTCCTCTTCTCCATTTTTTTCTGTTCATCTCCGTTCTTCTTCTGCTTCTTCTTCGTTCTTCTCCCATTTTCTTTTCTTCTTCTTCTATATTTTTCTTCTTCATCATTATTCTATTCTTTTTCTTCATTCTTCTTCCTTGTTTTTTTCTCCTTTCTTCTTCTTCCATGTTCTTTTTCTCCCTTCTTCTTTTTCTTCCTTCTTCTCTACGTTCTTTTTCTCCATTTTATTCTATGTTTTTCTTCTTCTCCGTTTTTCTTCTCTATTCGATTTCTCCGTTCTTCTTGATTCTTCTCATGTTGTTGTTGTTATTCTTTTTTTTTTCTCCATTCTTTTTGTTCTTCTTCTTCTTCTGCTTCCTCTCTGTATTTTGTTTTCTGTTCCCTATTTTTTTCTTCGTTCTTTTGATTCTTATTCTTTTTTTGCTATTCTCCATTCTTCCTCTTTTACGTTGTTCTCGGTTTTTTTCATTCTCCGTTATTCATCTCAATTTTTCTTCTCCGTTAATTATCTGTCCATCTTTTCTTTTCTTATTATTTTTCTCTTTCACCGTTCTTTTTCTTAAGTCTTCTCGGTTTATCTTCTGTTGTTGTTCTTGTTTTTCCTCTTCTCCGTTTTTCTCCTGCTTCTTCTTTTTCTTTTCCGTTTTTGTTTTATTTTTTTCTTCTTCTTCTTCTATATTTTCTTCTTTCTTCATTCTTCTGCTTTGTTTTTTTTCTCCCTTTTACTTCTTCTATGTTCTTCTTCTCTTTTTTTTTGTTTTTCTTACTTCATCTTTTAAGTTATTTTCCCTTTTCTCCATTTTTCTTCTTCTCTATTTGATTTTTCTATTCTTCTCTTTTTTTCTTCTTCTTTTTGTTCTCATTCTTTTCCTTTTTCTCATTATAAATAATGACTTTTATGAGTGTCATATTTTTTTTATAAATTCTTATTTTATTTATTTAATGTTCTATTTTATCATAATTTTGTCTTAAATATTAAATTAAACTTTAGAAAAAAAATTATTTTTATTTCTGAATCTCCAAATAATTTCTGTTTTGAAAATATAGAAATTGTCAAATACATTAATAGTTATTGCTAAATTTTTTTATTAGATACAAATATAAAAATAGTATTTCAAAGTAAAACTGAAGCCATATTTCATAAAATTAAAGCTAAAATGACCACTAATCATATTTTTTTTAACATGTGTAATTTTTTAAATAAAAATTCTTTATTTATAAACATTCAACTACAAAATTTATCATTTTATAAAATGATAAGATATAATAAAAAAGTATTACCAAATTTAAATATTTTTCTGCTAAAAATCAATTTAAGCCACGTTCATTTCTCAACTTACTCGATCAAACTATCCAGGCTCCCTGTTCTTCCATTATGAAATTTTGTTTTGAACAATTTTTTGCATTAAAATAAAAATTGGCAAAGGTGTACATTTTTACGATGCACCACCAACCCTTAGGTTACAAAGCCTTTGATAAAACTAAAAAGGGAAAACTCCAAACGAACCCCACTAAATACCCAACTATTATGAAGCCCAAATAATTATGGTCTAGTTGAAATGAAGTGAACCAAATTCTAAAGATTAGAATCGCAACAGAGCTCTTAGAAAACGATAATAGTAAACCAGATCCCGTTAACATTCCTCTCTGTCTCTCTCTTCTCCAAACCCACCTTCAACCTCTTGCGCAAAAACCCTAAAACCACCGTCTCTGCCGTGACCTCTGCATGTCCAACACTCTCGACTAAACCCCCTCCTCCGACTTGACTAAATCAATCACAACACTTGCGATTCTAGTCGGAATCGTTACCAAATACCTAATTAATTAAGAAACTCTCCGCCATTATTATAAATCCAACCCCACAGATCCAACCTTCTCTATTAGGATATATTTTATATCTTAGTACAAATATTATCTATATATTCTTTTAGGTTTATGTTTATGTTTTTGGCATATGATGTACATGTATAAATATAAGGTCGAGAGACCCGAAATAATAAGATAAGTTTTCCTATTCAAATTTTGTCATGGTATCAGAGCCAAATATCTAAACACCTAATTTTTTTTTTTGCGGCGCTTGCTTCTCCAACAAGTTTTGCTTTATCTCTTTATTCATCTACTCTTTTTTTAACTCAGAAAATAGAGCTTTTTCTTCTGTGTGTTTTACGCCTCTCGGCTGTGGTTAACTTCGATCAGTTTTAACGATGTCAATCGTTAATCCAGCTCCTAAATACAAGACAATTTCATCTTATGATTTCACATCTAGTGATAATCCTGGCACCGTAATTTTGCAACCGCTTCTCACTGGTCTGAATTACGACGAATGGACTCTCAATTTTCATATGGCTCTCAGTTCTCGGAAAAAAATTTGGTTTCCTTGATGGTAGTATTCCCAAACCGGCGGCTGGATCTCTTCATCTTGAAGATTGGATCGCCAACAATCACCTCCTGGTTGGTTGGATTAAGCAAACTATTGATCCAAAGCTTCGCTCCTCCATCTCAACTCGAGATATAGCCAAAAACCTCTTGGATATCATCAATAAACGTTTTTCAATCAAAATTGGGGCTCGCCTTCAACAACTTCGGAATTCTCTTGCAACTTGAAAACAGAACGGATCGACGGGGATGATTACTTTGGAAGATTGACGAAGATTTGTGATGGAATTTCTGGGTGTATGGAGACGAAGCAGTGCGGATGTAAACAATGCACGTGTGAGATGAATCTCTTTCATGAAAAACAGAAAGAGATTCTCAGAACTCATGATTTTTTGGCGGGTTTGGACGATTCCATTCATAGCGTTGTTCGCTCTCATCTATGTGCGATTACACCTCTACCGGATCTTGACAGCATCCATCAACCGATAGTGCAGAATGAAACTCTTCGGATGAATGTTATTCCTGATGTCCCAGTCATGTGATTTGCTGCTCACACCTCTTCTTCTCATATCGTTTACACCCGGGACATCTCACGCCAGGGCACATCTGATACATCTCGAAGTGGATCAAGCCCACTCGACAATATACAACATGCAGAAAACAGGACATGAGACGACGTTGTGCTTTAAGGTGATTGGTTACCCGGAATGGTGGCCAGATAAACCTCACCAAAAGTCCGGTGGTAGAGGACATGGTGGTGGCTCCAACCCTCGTGCTAATGTTACTTAAATACCAACTGCAAATTCTGATACAATGGTGTCCACGACATTGATTACGGATAGTGATCGTGTTGCTTTAGCTGTATTACAGATGATCAATGGGGCATTGTTCAACGCATGATTAATGTCAATAAGACTACTACAAGTTCAGGGGGTAAGCTACATTCTACATCTTGGATCTTGGATACAGGAGCCACACATCATATGACTAGTTACATTGTCTTGCTCAAAGATATTCGAGACATCTCTCCACTCTCGGTTATATTGCCTCCAGGATCGAATGCGTGTGCATCTAAACAGGGGACTATTTTGCTTACCTCCCGTGTTTCTCTGCAGAATGTCTATTTTGTTGCTGGATTTCATACGAATCTGATCTCATATAGTCAGCATGTCACCGATAATAATCTGGTTGGCCAAATCACTAATAAACTCATGATTTTACAGGACCGCAATACCAGGATGCTGATTGGAGCGGGTGAACGAGAGGGAGAGGGACTGTACCGGTTTCGAAGCATAGAGGCTGCAACAACATTTCAGACTAGTATGCGTCTGGAGCTGACATTATGGCATCATCGTATGGGACATCCTCCATCTCAAATTACTGGTTTTCTTCCTCTTGTTCATAGTGTTTATACTATTGATGACCTTTTACTTAGAAACTGTGATATGTGTTTGCGAGCTAAACAAACTCGACAATGTTTTCCAGGCAGTTCCAATAATGCAAAATAAATTTTTAATTTGATACATCTTGATTTATGGGGACCAAATCGTACTATAGCGTTTTATGGTTCAAGATACTTTCTGACCATTGTGGATGATCATTCACGAGCTGTATGGCTGTATTTACTTGCTGATAAGACTCATGTCTCGCAACAGATACGGAACTTTCTTACTATGATCGAACGCCAGTTCTTAAATAAGGTCAAGACAATACGCAGTGACAATGGCTCGGAGTTCCTTTGTCTCACGAGTTTTTTCAGAGAGAATGGAATTCTTCATGAGACATCATGTGTTCATACCCCGCAGCAGAATGGTCGAGCTGAAGTAAACATCATCACATCTTAAATGTTGCTCGAGCACTCCGCTTCCAAGCCAACTTA